GAGCGGGCCCGGCCGGGGCGGACTCAACCTTAAAAACCTCAAAGTCCGCGTGGCGCCCCGCAGCGCAGCGGCCCGCCGCCGCCCGGGCGTCCCCGCAACCTAACCTAACCTAACCGTCAGTCTCATTCCACCCACCAACCACCAACCAACCCACCCCTGCCTGGAAGAGATAGATGATGACGCCGCCTCAGCTCCAGAGGAACGTAGCGTTCCGCGTCTGCGTCCACTGCGGTACCGACGTTTCAAAAAGAAGTATGTATTTCGAAGTACTTAGGTGTTGGGGTGGGGGGAGGGATCCTCGAGGAGAATGAATGACTTTGAGGCTTTTCTTTGAGTGGACATACATTTACGGACACGTAATGCTTTGGTTGGTCGCTTGCGTAAGAAGGGAAAGAAGAACGAGTACCTACCGTCAAGAAGGGGAAAGGAAAGGAAAGGGTGAGAGAGAGAGACTTTTGCTCAACCCTAGGACAACGACGTCCAGATACATCAGATAGAAGGTGCTTGCTTGCTTGCTTGCTTGCTGGACGGAGGAAGGGGGGGATGAGATCTCGGTAACAATTCATCTGAAAAACCGTCCACGCAAGCAAATATCATAGGTAGTTTGAAGCTGTAATACGTGGAATGGCCTTTGGGCTTCCCGGAAAGTATTAGCGTTCTTTACTATTACAGTCTATACAACCCGCGTCAAGTTTGGCCGAACGTGTGTAGAAAAGAAGATCAGCCCGATGATGGTTCGTAATTCATGAATGATGATTTTGTCTTGTCTTTGTGTCATTATACTCATTACTCGTCAGTGGTATAAGCACCCCAGAAAAAAAGAAGAGACGAACCCCAACGCCATACCTGACAGGACATGATATAACTGGAAAAAGTGCGAGAGAGAAGAAAGCCGAGATTTCTTTTGAAAATATATAGGCAGAGATCATAGATAGATGGTTTTGTTTTACCAGAAAAAGCAGACCAGCGGGAGACCTCGTCCCAACCCAAAACATTAAATAACCTTTCCTAGCCATTTCGTTCACCTACCCATTCAGGTGCTCAGTTGCTCAGTCGCTCGCTCGCTCACCTACCCAAACACACAAAACAAACCAATTCCTATCCAACAGACCTATTCCTTTTTTCGTTCCAGTCTCCCTTACTCATGCTACTACTACTCATCTCACTCTACCTCATCAACCGGGTACTCCTGTAGACCAACTTGGACAGGTCTATGGGTTCCGAATCCGCTGATGGGTCGGCCGCAATTATCCCATCATTAGCGGCACTGTCATCCACATCCTCCAACCCCTCATCTACCTCGATTTTGGCATCACCCTTGACACTCCCGCTTACTGTGCTTCCCTCCGACTCCGTCGCCGGTGCTGTCCTCTTCACTCCCTTTTCCACCACCGTCACCACTGCCCCCTCCTTGGTAGCTTCCTTAGCAGCCTCCTTCACGGAGCTCTTTGTGCTCTTCACGCTCGTCACCCTCCTCATGCTCTGGGGTCTATAGCTCCTCGCCCCCATGCCCATGGGAATGGCGCTCGCACCGGCGGTTGCTCCCCTAGACATCAATCCGGCCGCGCCACCAGCGCCCAGTTCGGCAGAACCATCTCCACCAAGATCCTCGCGCTTGGCACGCTCCATCTCCTTGGCGGCCAAGTCCTTGGTCTGCGCCAGACGCTGCTTGATCTTGGTGACCTCCTCACCGCAGTCGCCGTCACGAAGGAACTGATGGGCAGCGTGCTCGCACATGGATTGAACAAACTCGAGGCCCTTGTCAAGCTCATCGTAGACGTCCGACCCGGCATCTTGAGGTGATTGGCCGGCACCGGCACGGCCCATATTCGCGTTCATGCGGAAACCGGCGGCCATGGGATTGGCGCGTACTCCGCCACCTTGGGCCATCATGCGGTTATAATCGCGCGCGCGACGAGCAGCTAACACTGCTTGAACTGGATCCAGGCTCCCCGCGGCCGGAGCGGCGGCCGATGCATCCATGTTGTTCACTGCCTTGGGGTCGGGCACCAGTTCCCCGTTCGCGGCGTCTCCACCGCTTTCATCGTCGTCGGGCGGTGTGTTGAGCTCGGCCAACCTCTTGATCTGGGCAACCTTGGCTGCCATTTTGGCCTTGCGCATCATGTTCCTGCTGGCGCTCACAAACTTGACCAGCTCCTCGAAAAAGCTTTGTACATAGCTGTCGTAGTAGACTATGATCATGCTCCGGCTGCGGTACTTTGGTGGCTTGTCGGCGTTCTCGGCGCTCATGACCGAGTCAGTTCGTTGGCGCTTGCGAAGGGTAGCGCGCGCCTTGGCCTGACCTGCTGCACGGACTTGCGATGTTGTTCGCTGCAGAGCTCCGGGAGAACCTGGCGTCTGGGGGCTGGTTGGTCGGTTGTTCGGTGTCTCGTTCTCCTGGTAGTTGGGATGGGCGGACGGCTCATCTTTGGGCCTGAGACTTTCAGTTGACCCCTTGTTCCTCAAAGACTTGCGTGACGGGGATCCTGGCTCTCCGCCAGGCGATGATGACTTGGACTCGGTAAGTTGGGCCAACTCCTGCTGGCGTTGTTCGATTTGGCCGTTGAGCTCATCTAGACGATGTAGCCAGTCGGGAATACCGTACTCGAGGTTCTTGAGGGCCTCCATGGCGGCGTCCTCCTCCTCGGATGAGACAGGGCTAACAAGGGTACCTCTCTCTTGGACACTTTCGGGCACTTGTCCTTCCGCAGCCGATGGCGCGGGACCTTCTTGTGGGGAAGCCGTGGTTGCGACTTTGTTCTGGAACCCCGTGTGTTTCGCTTTGAGTGGGCTTGGTTGAAGGGGTGCCAGGAACACCACGTATCACTCTCAATATCTTGTTGTTCGAGGTAGGCGGTAGTAATAGAAGTAGAAACGTAAGTGATTTGGAGTGTAGGGTCGGTGTGCGGCGGCTTATTGATGAGACGAGATGAACAGGCGGCGTGCAAGGGTTGAGACGATTGGGACGTGCTTCGTATGTCGTTGGCCGTCTCGGTCGGTCTATACGAGCCGTTGGGGGTTTGGATGAATGGACGGATAGACGGGTGGGCGGATGGATATAGATAGAATGCCGGACGCTACGGCGGGGGAGAGAGAGAGTTTGGACGGTGTGGTTGCACTGCAGCCGAGGAGCAGTCAATCGTTCGTTGAGAGTCGGATGTCGTCGTCAACGAGGAAGCGTGGCCAACAACAAGACGGTGCGGGAGGATGGGTTGTATTGGAAAATGACGTGTGATGGAAAGAAGCAGTGTCGTCGTCGATGTGTGCAAATGGGAGACAGCTGAGGGCAAAAGGTCGAAAGTGGAAGCAGCTGCAGAAATGGTAGTCGGGGTTCGTTCTCGACGACTGACTGCTGACACAGCGGCTGACGGGGGAGGGAGGGGAGGAGACGGGACCCTGAGAAGCTAACAGCGGTCGGACTGGGATAGGGGTCACTGCCGCAAAGTGTGTGTGACCTCTGGAGCGATCTCCTAGCGCCGGGTGTCGAGTCGAGTCTAGAGTCTTGGACACTACACTAGACTAATGTAGTGTACAAGTCTACTAGATGAGCTCTAGGTGGACGGGACGGGACGAGAGGTTGAGAAGTAGAGGTAAGGTTGAGAAGACGGAGTGAAGAAAAGGTAGAGAGAGAGAGAAAAAAAAAAAGGAGAAGAGACGGGACGGAAGACAAGTGAAAGATCGGATGAATGGCCCTTGCTCCACTCCCGCCCGTCTTCTACAATGCACGGCAGCAGGCACGGCACTCTACAGAGGTACTTTGTTGTGCGCACTGCACTATCCCGTCCTTCGCTTTGGGTACCTCTAGGTAGGTGTAGACCACAACGGCCCGGCCTGCCTGGGGGACCGCATGTACATACACTAGAGGTATGTACAGGAATTAGGTGGCGGTGTCCGCGTGGTGGGAGATTCCAGTGTGCGCGCGCGACAAAAATCAATGGGCGGAAGGTGGGGGATATGCGCCAGACTGCAGCAGACTGAGCAGCGCAGGCAGTAACAGTGCAGCGACAGTGCAGCAGCACAACTTAATCCTCTAGGGTAGTCCTGTTATGGGGCCAACCCATCGGTCCACCTTCACTTCATCAATTCTCTCTCCATTAGTGTACTGTAGGTCCTTCCCGTCTGCCGTGTCTCTCCGACTTTGCCGTTGTTGCCTGGTCCTTGTCAAAGTCAACGGTTCAACGTTGAGCTCCGTAGGTAGGTTGTCGTCTTTGGAGCCTCAGCTCTCTTTGGGGAAATTGGTCGACATACCTATATCAGATATTATATGCTCTGGCCTCGTATATAATATGTATTATACTCAACGTGTTGTATAACCGCGTCAGGTTTCCACCACGGTCTCGATTTTCTGTCGTATTGGTATTTTGTTTCCACGCTAGTGAAAAAGAGGCAGGCACAAAAGCAGGTACATACCACAAAGTGTCAACAACATGGAAATGCCCAGGCATCCCCACTGAGTGCTCAGTGATATCTATCCATCCATTTTCATGATACCTTCACTGTATGAAAAGGGTACAACATTGCACGGGACAGGGAAATGCCAAACAGGTAGCCGTCCTCATCAAAGCACTTGTAGAAGCGAGGTCGCCGAAACGCGGGAGGCTCTGTGCGGTGGTCGTAGTCAAAGTGGAAGTGTGGTGGTAAATGGATGAGATAATCACCCGCCCGACCGACCGACCGACCGACCGACCAACCAACCAGCCTTCGGATGTGTCGCCGACACTCGAGTCCAGCCAGTTACTGTACCTTAAAAAAGTGAGGAGCACACTAAAAACCGCAATCAGTGTTGATCCTCCTCTACACTACATATGAGGAGAGGGGCCGGGCTAGCGACGGGAAGACGAGGCTTTGCGGGTAAGGGTACACTACAGTAGAATGACGGATCTTGACCCATTCGAGAGCCAGCCCTGTCAGTCAGAAAATGCTATAGTGATATGTAGTCTGTCCATTTGCAATGTGTGAGCTGTCTGCAATCTGCATACTATCTCCAATGCAGAAAACATTGGTTATAAATGAATGTTAGGTGCTGTGAGAGCAGAGGCGGCGCGAAAAAATGGGGAGCAGTTAGGTAGCTTGGGACGAAAGTCACCCCTAGGAAAAGGGGAAGTCGAGAAAAAAAAGATGGGATGAAATGATGGGGGGACTGGTTCGGACGAAACAGACAATAAGTCGCATCAACCGGTCCGAATAACGTATGTATGTATATAAAACACTTTTGCCCATAGCTTTGATGCTGGTGCCGAGAAGAGTTGTCATCAAGACATCTGGCTATAACCGCCTGAAGCGCTGTTTAATACCTTTTTTTTCTTTGGTTTTTTTTTCCTTCACTAGCTGCGCCGACAAATTGTACATATCCAATTGTCTCCTGCGTCTGAACCACTACTCGAAGACGCGCGCACTCATACATAGTCTGCTCTTGGCCAGCTCCAGCAGGCACAGACATATGTATGTATGTACGTAGTCGCATGAACTGTTATCTCCTTTTCCCTATGCATACCTCGCATAAGTATAATTCCTCCATGCATGTGCATACATAGGCAGAGTTACGCAAGGGACAACTTCGAGCAGAGCAGACGAGCCCAAAACCCGATTACCTACTTGGGGGGTATAGGTAGACCTTGAGTGCCTTTTCCTCCTGCGAGAGTCCGTCCAAAGACAAATGAAAGGAAGTGACATGTGAAACGCAACCTCGCATATTCAATAAAAAAAAAATCACCCAATTCCCGTCCAAAACCTTGTCGATCATGAAAAAGCGGTATACGGTGGTCATATCCTCGTCCCCCCCCTCCACCTCTCTCTCCTCTCCTTGAACCGTGTGGCGTTCCTCCGAATGGACGGTGGGGTTTTTTAACGCTCCCGTCATTCTCGCCCTGCTGCTGCTGCTGCTTCTGCAAAGAGAAACTCGCAATAAACAGGGAGCTCCACAGTCCAGCCCAGAAAGAACAAGCTCGGACAAGTTCAGGTTGATAATGCTCTCTCTCTCTCCACTTTAGATCGATGTCTGGATCGCTGATCGCTTGCATGTGGTTGTCTTGTTCCTCTTGCTC